TGGTGGTGGTGGTGGTGGTGATGGTGGTGGTGGTGGTGATGGTGGTGGTGGTGGTGATGATGGTGAGTGGTGATGGTGGTGGTGATGGTGGTGGTGATGGTGGTGGTGGTGGTGGTGATGGTGGATAACACTGGTGATGGTTTTGTTTTCTGAGACAGAATCTCACTCTGTGAGTAGCCCAGGCTGATTTGACATCATTATGTAATCCATGCTGGCCTCAAACATATGATCCTTCTGCCTCAGGCTCCCAAGTGCTGAGATTATGTGTTTGTGCCACTATCCCCGGTATAAGCATTTTTAACCCACTATTAAAATCATTATTAATATTAATGAGAAGGCCTTACCAGTAAGAACTCTTTCCAATATTCATTTTACTTGTAAATAAGCTAAGATACTGAGAGACAAGGTGACTCGACTCCCTAGTTGATAACTGTTAACTCCCTGGCTCTCTGGTTGCCTTGAGTGAAGGATAATCTTCCAAGAGTCAGTTGAACCATCCCCATGCCAGCTCTGGTTGCTTAGACTGCCCCATGAATGCCTCAAGGAAGCCACACAACATTGACAGCTGCTTGTGGTTGGAGGTTTCTGTCCCACCAGCAGCTCCCAAATACCCGTGACAGCCACTTCTCAAATTACCACACAGAGGCTTATTTTAATTACAAATGTTTGGCCGATAGCTCAGGCTTGTTACTAACTGGCTCTTATACTTAAATTAACCCATAGTTCTTATCTATGTTTAGCCACGTGGCTTGGTGCCTTTTCTCAGTATGACATTCTCATCTTGCTTCTGGCTGGCGACTCCTGACTCCACCCTTCCTCTTCCCAGCATTCTCAGTTTGGTCGCCCTGCCTACACTTCCTGCCTGGCTACTGACCAATCAGCATTTTATTAAACCAATTCAAGGGACAAATCTTTATAGTGAACAAGAGCATTATCCCACAGCAGCTGCTTGCTGGTGAAGGGTGGTAACTCCAGCTCCTGAAATCACAGCCCTGGCCATGATGGTTCCAACTGTGGCCTTCAGAGCCCTCAGTGAAGTGGCCCTGCTGCCATTTCCACTGAGGTAGCTCTGCTGGTGGCCCTGCAGAGGGAATGCTGTGACTAGTGGGAAGGGTGACAGCGTCATGTGACTGGTGTTGACACAGACTTTCATTTGCATGAGGATGTGCTAGGATTTGGGTCAAACCCCTGTCTTGGGGTTATCTAAGCTGTTTGACTAACTCCTGTGCTGTGGGCTTCTGGAGTCACATCAGACCCATAAGGCTCCTCTCTGGTGGCCTTTCACCATTTGTAAAACAGGCTGGGCTGGGAACGAGAAGGAGGCAGTTGCAGGAGAGACAAACCAACTCCCAGTGGTCCCTTTTCGAGGGCTGCCCCAAACCTCATGGCTTAAGGGCCTCTCAGGAGGCCCCACTTCCCAGTTCTGTCCCACTGGGGGTTAGGTAGTCATAAACTGGGTTTGGTGGCACACACCTTTAATCCCAGCACTCACAAGGTTGAGGTAAGTGGATCTTTGTGAGTTTAAGGCCAGCGTGGACTACATATTGAGTTCCCAGTCACTGGGGCTACTTAGTGAGACCCTCTCAAAACAAACAAACAAACAATGAGGTGGTGGTAGACAGACCCAGGATGGCAAATACTGGCACTTGACACCTGGCTGTCTGGGAAGAGGCTGCCTCATGAAGCCAAACCTGGCCTGGGGCTCTTCCATAATTAGTGGCTTTCCTTCTCTCTCCTCCCTCCTCCCCTTCCTCCCCCCCCCCCCCCCCCCCCCCCCCCCCCCCCCCCCCCCCCCCCCCCCCCCCCCCCCCCCCCCCCCCCCCCCGTTCCCTTCTTTTTCTTTTCCCTTCTCCTCCTCCTCCTCCTCCTCCTCCTCCTCCTCCTCCTTCTAGACAGGCCCTCACTTACATTGTCTGCAATGGCCTTTAACTCACTGTATTGGCCTTGAACTCACAGTGGTCCTCCTGCCTCAGTCTCATGAGTGCTGGGATTGTGTGTGTGTGTGTGTGTGTGTGTGTGTGTGTGTGTGTGTGTGTGTGTTTCCCGCCACTGATCCTGGCTCTTCTTTTCTAACAACAAGACTGGGACATCACAATTACATCGTGCTCACCTTAGGCTTTTTTTTTTTTTTTTCCCCCTCAGAAACTCAGAGACTCACAGAAGAGACCTGCGGGGTCTTCTTTGGAAACAGCCATGGAGACCCAGCCTCCGCCTCTGTCCTCCATTGGGAAAGCAAGGCCCAGGGGACAGTGGCATAGAGGAGCTGAGATCATGGGTCTTTGAGATCAATAAACAGGGACGGGGGTGGGGGTAGCGGGGCTGGCAGAGGTGATGCCTGGAGGCTCATACACAGCGGGGTGCCAGGGAGGCCCCTAGGGTCTCAGAAGGGAGGGTCCTGTCAGCCCCACTCCTGAACCTGCCTCCCTTCTTCATGCTGACTCGACCACCACGTCCACTCTCCCTGGTCCCCATCACTCACTCGCACACACCCTGCTTGGTTTCAGACAGACATGGCTTCCGGCCAGCTTCCGTAGTAATTAGCAATGACTAGTAATTAGCAATGATAAGGTGTGAAGATTCCCCGTCTGCCCACCTCTCCCTGTGTCCTCTTCCTCTCCTCTCAGTAGGAACTGCTGGCTCAGAGCCAGGTTTCCACACAAAGGCTGTCCCTGGAACCTGCTAGGCCAGATTCCAGGGGAAGGACAGAGGGCGGCCTGCACGCCACTCTTCTGCCCCGTGTCCTGCGCGAGCAGCCTTCAGGGCCTCACCTGGCTGCCGGGTCTCCCACCTTAAACATCCGTTTCTCTCTTGAAAGTCACACATGGGTGGTACAACACTTAAAGACCACAAAAACTACCCCGGGGAGGAAGAGGCTGGGGGAGAAATTGCCGAGGAGGGTGCACACAGGACTTCCTGTGTTCTTCCTTTCCCGGGTGTCTAGGTGCTGGCTGTCTACAGCTGTCGTTAGACTCTGGGGGCCCCTCCTTCCTAGTGTGCTGCAGAACTGAACCCCTCTTCTCTCATCCTTTGTGACCCCGCACTTGACTGACCCTCCCACCCTGTTCGTGCTCTGTCGTCCACAGAATTGCCCGCCCTCACCCCTTTACACGGCAGGTAGGATATGTTGGCACACAAGCGCTTGGGCTTAGGGGTACCGTGAGCACACACAGGTCACAGGTGTCTGTCTCCACCTCAGGGACAGGTGAGGAAGGGTGCTGACTGCTGCCAGGAAGAGCTGTACCCCCAAGCCACACCCTGCAGGCTCTGCTATGTGGAAGGGGATTGGGTAAGAATACAGAACGTACTTTGATTGGCCAGGACCAGGTTCCTCCGGGATGGAGGAGAAAGAAGCGGTGTTTACACTCCGCTTTTCATAGCGTTGAGGTTGCGACGTTTCTGACCCTCGAGGTAGTGAAATGACCTTGGCAGAAGCTTGCTTTGTGACTTTGAAGACGCTCTTTCTCAAAATCAAGTCCTCAAACTGGGATCCCTAAGATAAAGACCCCTCGAAAGGGAAAGGAGAGGAACCCACAGGGACACTGTAACGCAGTAGAAGAAATTTGGGGGTTGTGTGTGCACGTGTGCGTACGTGTGTGCGTGTGCTGCTTAGGGTGGAAGCAGGGCCTCATGCATGACACACCAGTGCTGTAATGGCCCAGCTGCACCGTGGCCCTGGCAGCTGGGTGAAGCAGAGAGAGGCTGGGCCCACGGCACTGCAGAGTGGAGCTGGTTGAATGAGCTTTGCTTATGAATCCTGTGACCTATCGGTTTGAAACAACAATCAAAGAAGAAATAAACTAATGAAGCCAGGAGGTAGTGGCACATGCCTTTAACCCCAGCACTTGGGAGGCAGAGGCAGGCAGATCTTTGTGAGTTCAAGGCCAGCCTGGTCTTACAAAGAGAGTTCCAGTACAGCCAGGGCTACACGGAGAAACTCTGTCTCGAAAAAACCATTAAAAAAGGCAATAAACTAACCATCGCAAGCCTGAATAAATAGACTCTTGCACTGTGTCCTTTTGTGTCTGCCTCCATTGTTCTTACAAACATTTTGCAGGTGTGTCTATGAGCAGCCTGCTGGGTGGGTGGTACTGCAACAGGAGATGGCGCTCTAGAGCACCCGCAGCTTGAATTGACCCCTCATTCATTAGGGACTTCCACTCAGGTGAAGCAGGATCTGTTGGTGGCACTGTTTGGGAAGGTTTGGGAGGTGTGGCCTTGGTAGAGGAAGTATGCCTCCAGGGGTGGCCTTGGAGAGTTTCAGTTCCCTCTCTGCCTGATGCTTTGTATCCCCCTGGGACCAGAAGCCAAATACCTCCCTTCTCTAAGTTGCCTTGGTCACGGTGCTTTATCAAAGCATCAAAAGGGTTTTGCATCCTGTAAAAACCATTGTGGGCGATAAGTATTTTGAATCTCCAGTAGTGGGGTTCTCCACCGATGCAATAAGCCAGATCAAGCCACATTAATAAGACCAGGTTTAATCTGAGCAAAGCATTCCCAGGTGATCTCAGAGGAAGAGGGGAGATCACATGGCAGGTCTATGGACCGGAGCGCAAATACCCTGTAGGCAAAGTCTTGAGGAGTTCTGGAAGAGGAGCCACCGCTTGGTAGGCTTTCTTCGAGTTTGGCGAGGGAGGAGGGGGCTGAGGCAGAGCTTCCAATAGAACACCCCAATCTTCTTGGATGTATGGGCACCAGTTCTGGCTCCTTCCTGCTGGCAAGGGATGACATGGGGAGAGGGAACTGGGAGTCAGTAAGCTTGTGTTCAGCAGGAGGTATGTATGGGTGAAGAAGCATTCGGTTAACTGCCATGACCTCAGGAATCTGTTTCTTGAGGAAGCGGAGAAGGTGAGTTACTAGGAGAAAAAATAGAATATTAACACCGGGCCTATGAACAGAACGAGCCACGGGGACAGCGGAGATTGCCGGTGAGAATGGAATGAGCTGTGCCCTGGTTGTACTGACAAAGGCAAATGAGCAAGGCAGAAGAGCAGATAGGCCCTTCAGTGGGACAATTGGGAAAACCAGTGGGTGGAGGGTCCCAGTTGTTGGACAGACCATCTATCCTGGATAGGTGCCCACTTGAGCCTGGAGAGATGGTACCAGCACCGACGTCCCAGGAGCTTGGGGGAATGGCATGCCAAATCAGGGGATGATGTGTTCCAGGAGCACCTGAGTCATCACATCTGCTGTCTCCCTGGAAGTGAGGAGTGCCTCCATCGGTCCTGTAAAGGTGTCAGTAAGAGTTAAGAGATAACAGAGCTTTTTATGAGTGGGCATGTGGGTGAAGTCAATCTACCAGTCCTTGCCCAGTTGGTGTTCTCAGAGCTGGTATAGGGGCTGGTGTATCTGGAGGGCCAGATGTCTTGATACAGCAGCAGAACTCTTTCCCCAGGAACCTGCAGGTGCCTGTAAAACACCTGGAACAGATTTACACCTTGGCGTCATAGCAAAGGCTATGGCTTTGAGTTAAAAACATTTTTCCTAGGGCCTGGTTTTAGCCTGATGAAATGTACCTTTGAGCCTATTCTTAGAAGACAACCAGAGGAAATTTACTGAATGAAAAAGGTTGAGTGAGTGAAGGAGGGGGAGGAGGGAGGCTGAGGAGCAGGGGAGGAGGAACAGACTTGAACATGCCTGCAGGCTTCCATACCCTCTTTAATGCTGACCTGTTTCAGAGGGGGAGGAGGTGGCATTTCAAACCTGTCTGTATTTTTAACAGGAAACTTAACTAATGAACTGATGAGCTACCAAGGTGGTTGTAGTCTTGGGGGTTGGGGGAGAGCTGTTAAACCGGCAAAGCTATCAGTACCCTGGTCATCAAACACCATCAGATCTGAGAAGGGTAAATTTCACCTGAGGAAGCAGACGTGAGAAGTTTTCCAGCTACCTAGGCAGCTACCCCAGGTTTCTCCGTGGTCTTTGGGGGCAGAGGTGTCAAGGCAGCATAAATCTTCAGCTGCCAGGCCCAGAAGATCTGTCAGACTTTCCTGTGGAGTAGGAACTCAGGGAGACCAGTCTACCTTGTCTTGGCAAGCAGAGCAATCAATTCCCCAGTGTCCTGCTTGTCCACAGTCTGGACACGGTCTTAGCAGGCAAGGTGCAAGGCAGCTTTCCACTCCGTGGCTGGCTTTGCTACGTTTAAAGCAAGCTCCAGGTGGAAGTTCTTCTGCGGCCATCCATCTTCCTTGGAGGAGGTACAGGGTGCTGCCAGGAGCTTAATGTCTCTATCATAAGAAGCTTTTTTTTTTTTTTTTTTTTTTTTATTAATGCCATATTCTCAGATCTCTGAAGGTTTGAGGATCAGTGGATCATAATCTCTTAGGTATAAGCAGTTTAATATCTCTGGAAGGCAAAACACAGTTTTAATAGTGTAACAATTTAAAATCAATGCCAAGGGGATTATTCTTATGTTACAAATTCTGGCTGCCAGCAAGATACATCCCTGTGCATGGATGCATGGAGGTGCAGTTTTGATATTTCAGTAAACCAGTATTGTTTTAAATCCTATCTTTCATAAACCTTGTTTTTAGGACAGGACAGGAATTATCATACATAAATCCATCCTAATCTAAAATATTTTGGAGACCTGTTGTCTCTTGGTGGACCCACTCCACATGGTCACCTTTATTTAAGATGCCAGTGAGGTCATATGACCTCCCTCTTCTCCATCCTTAGTCAAAATGGTGGCTGTCCACATGTTGTACTTAATTAGGGTGGTGGCAGACCATGTCTTGTTTCTCAGAGCAGTTCCAATTTGGAGTTACAAGGTTTAAGTTAACTTTTTGTTAATAGCAATGGCTGACACACGGAATACGTACACACAGGCATCCAAGACCAGTCAGAAACAAGCATGTAGTGGTCACCTTCTATCCATGTACACAAAGTAGATAGGACTTTCTTTCTTCCTTCCTTCCTTCCTTCCTTCCTTCCTTCCTTCCTTCCTTCCTTCCTTCCTTCCTTTCTTTCTTTCTTTCTTTCTTTCTTTCTTTTTAACAGAGAAACAAAACTTTCTATGGGAAACCATGTCAGATGAGCTTAAAAAATCCTGAAATAAGAGGTTACAGTGTAGAGTAGCATGTAAGAAAGCATAGGAATAAAAAGTGCTTCTTGGTCATTGATAGACCCCAAAGTCTAGGGTACTACCTTCTCGAGTGGGCGCCCCAAGAACCCAGACTCCGGTCCAGTTGATGCAACAGCACGAGGTTTATTGAAGCGACTGTACAGATGGGCTATTCTTGTCCTGAGAGCAAGAGTCTCATCTTACTGTAGCCACATGGGTGCTTTTAAAGGAAAAACCCACAAAAGCCATAAGATTACAATTCCCATACAATTTCATTTTGATAGATTTATGTCTAGAGGCTAATTTCATAAGATCATGGCCTGATCACGGGGTGGGTACAGTCACGTGCACATTTTTCCTGAAACCTCAAGGGTGGGGTATCAGGGCAGGAGTGGAGTTTACACAAAGGTCACAGTGGTCCTTTCTGGAACACTTGCAATTATCCCAGTCACAGTTGAGTGCATCTCTTAAGAGAGATCTCTTTACATTGTTACATTGTGGCAGGGGTGGTTGAATAATGGCTGAGTCAGGTTGCCCTTGGAACTAGTTTTCTTTTTAGTTCCTTATTCTCCTGGGGCTTGCAGGGAGGGGGGTTGTAAGCCTGAAGGGTTAGGGTCTTTCAGCCATAATGTGGTTCCTATCAGGTTGGGGCAGCCCACTGAGGGTAGCTGGGCACCACCAGTCATGATGCCCAGTTCACATGCAGCAGGGTCCAAGGTGGGTGAGTTGCTGCAGGCTTGCAATCAGCAGGGCCTCGTGCACCTGAGCCATGAGAAGAAGGCACTGCATCCGATTGCGGGGAGTGGGGGGCTGGGAGGAAGGACCATGGACGGGACATGGACACGGGACTGAAAAACAGTAGCAGCACAGGCTGCCCAAGGCCGAAAGAAAGCCTGGATGAGCGTGCTGGAACAGCAAGTGGATGTAGTGGTATTTTGTTTGTACTCTTAACACTTTGCCTCAAGATCAGAGGGCAGAGCCAGCCACAGAGTTAGCCATAGAGGTCAGGCAGTGGTGGCACACACCTTTAATTCTAGCACTCGGGAGGTAAAGGAAGAGATCCTTCTGGATCTGGATCTCTGTGAGTTCAAGGCCACCCTAGTCTACATGAGATTAATCCAGTCTAAAAGAGAAACAGAGCCAGGCAGTGGTGGCACACACCTTTAATCCTAGCACTTGAGATCTCATGCCTTTGCTACCAGTATTTGGTAGTCACATGCCTTTAATCCCAGCACTAGAAAGGTTCAGCTGAGGACTCAGGGGCATTCAGTCTGAGGATTCGTGGAGACAAGATCTCGCCTCCCTGTAGAAGAATTCTTAAAAGTTCTTATTAATAAAATAAAACCCGAGGCCAGTTATTGGGGTGAATACTGGAAGGTCAGAGAGACAGAACAAGCCACAGCTATCTCACCTCACCAGTTCCTCAGCTGGTCCTGTTTCCTCAGACTGGAAGCCTCTGAGTCCTCATCCAGAATGAATCCCAGCTGAACTGTGTTGCTTCAAAGCCTGAAAGCTTAACCAGCCAAATGCTTAACCAGCCACATGCTTCTAGTTTCTGGTCCTCATGCCTTATATACCTTTCTGCTTTCTACCATCACTCCTTAGGATTAAAGGCTTGCTTCCTGGGATTAAAGGCATGAGTCACCATGCCTGGCTGTTTCCAATGTGGCCTTGAACTCACAGAGATCCCAGATGGATTTCTGCCTCTGGAATGCTAGGATTAAAGGCATGTGCTATCACTGCCTAACTAGTGGCTTTTCTGTTCTCTGACCCCAGATAAGTTTATTAAGGTACACAATATTTTGGGGAACACAATATCACCACACCTCCCTTTTGGCCTGAGGATTCAGTAGTGGTGAGAAGTTTCTCTAGTGGCCTGTTTCCTCTAATCTTTCAGCATTTACCCCAAAGTCTGGCTCCAGGTTTTTATTATAAGACCAATTAGGATTCA